TGCAAACGATCTTTCTTCCTTCCCTTTGCAGGTAGTAACAACAGCATCTTTGCACCTGTTCTTTTGCCGCAGTCAAGTGAGTAGCCCTTTTGCCCCTGCCCAAATTCTAGACTGATTGCATGACGATAAGAAAGTACAAACATTTTAGTTGCGTAGGGAAAAATTGTGCTATGAAAACTGGAAGGCAGCAGGAAAAGAGGAAGACCCAGCATGAGATGGATTGAGAGCCAATTTGGGGTAGTGGTTAGGAGTACGGACTGTAATGAGAACCGGGTTTGATTCCCAACTCCTCCACATGCAGCTGCTGGTCTGACCTTGGCTGAGTCACAAGTTCTTTCAAAGCTGTTCTCTCACTAGCACTTTGAGAGAGAGCTTTCTTAGCCCCACCTCCCTCACAGGGTGTCTGTTGTGGGGAGGGGGAGGGAAAGGAGATCGTAAGCCGCTCTGAGACTCCTCCGGGTAGCTGGCTAAGTTGGCTACAAAGTTCTGGCCCGATGGTACAGTTTGGTGTAGTGGTTAAGTGCACGGACTCTGATCTGGGAGAACCGGGTTTTCATTCCCCACTCCTCCGCTTGCACCTGGCTGGATGACCTTGGGCAAGCCATAGTTCTGTCAGAGCTGTTCTCTCAAGGGCTGTTCTCTCAGAGCTCTCTCAGCCCCACCTACTTCACAGGGTGTCTGTTGTGGGAAGGGGAAGGGGAAGGAGTTTGTAAGCCGCTCTGAGACTCCTTCGGGTAGTGAAGGGCAGTGTATAAATCCGATCTCTTCTTCTCCTCTACTACAATGAGTTAAAGGCCAGTTGTCGGTGGTCAGTCGACAGGTGACAGACAGGTGACGGCAACCGAGAGTGGACCACAATAAGGATAGACTGAAAAGATGCACCAAATCATGGGTCATTTTTCTTGGTGATTAGTTTCAACCCCCTTTTCCCCTCTCCTAAATAAATTTCCATGTTGTGGAATTGGCCCCAGGTGAACAAAAACGAGTGTATGCCTGGAAAGCTACCCAGACTTTCACAGGTTCACTGGACTGTACTTTGTATCAGAAATGCCAAAATCATAGCGAGGACACTCTCTCGGAAGGGTCGTCTGAGGCGTCAGGCGTTGAAAATAGTGCAGCCAAGATTGTGATGACGAACGGCCACCCTTGCACAAGACCCACTTCTCGTTCGGCTGTCCACCGAGCACTGTCTCTTTCTTCCCTCCATCAGAGTCCTTTTTCAGTTCGTGTGGAAGTTTGCACAAACTAAGTGAAGAGCCTCTGGTTCCTCCACCGCTTCCTCCTCGCAAGAAGTTCGATCAGGATTCCTCTACTTCAAAGGTACGTCCCCAGCTTGAGAGAACCTTCCCCGGAAATCTGCTTGTAGAGCGATAACCTTCAAAGCCTTATACGGAAACATATCTAAGGGGCCGCCTCTTCCCATATATGCCTCGAAGAGCTTTACGCTCTAGTAATCAACATCTCCTGGTGGTCCCTGGCTCCAAGGGCGTCTGTCTAGCCTCGACCAGGGCCGGGGCCTTTTCTTCCCTGGCCCCCACCTGGTGGAACATGCTCCCCATCAAGATCAGGGCCCTGTGGAATCTCACTCAGTTCCACAGGGCCTGCAAGACGGAGCTCTTCCGCCAGGCTTTTGGTTGATGCAGTGGGCGTCCACATATGGCCTCCCTGAGGTTGCTGTCTCCTACCTCCTGGCCACCCATCTGCCAGCAACCGGCCATATCTATCAGTACGAAGGGGTCGGAATCTTCACCAGCAGCTATAACTACTGGATTTTGCCAGCTCGCACAGTAACTCTCAGACGAAATAAGTCCTTTCAGGGCTCTTTTTGTAGAAAAAGCCTAGCAGGAACTCATTAGCATAATAGGCCACACCCAACTGCAGAAACTCATTAGCATATTAGGCCACACCCCTGACAGCACAGCTCATTAGCACATTAGGCTGCACCCCCATGTTACCAGAAGTGTGGTTATACAGCCCCACCCACCTTTTGCTTGCTATTCTGTTTACCTTGTTTGTCGTCAAAACCCAGGGCCTTTTTTTGGAGCAGGAACTCCTTTGCATGTTAGGCCACACACCCCTAATGTAGCCAATCCGAATGAGTTTCTGCTGTTGGGTGTGGCCTATTATGCTAATGAGTTCCTGCTGGGCATGGCCAACTCAAGAGCCAGCTGGAACTCCGTTCCTGTGCGTTCTTGCCCCAAAATAGCCCTGAGTCCTTTTAAGCAGGCTTTATTTTAGAAAGTCAGGAAAGTTGCTTTCAAGTTGAAACTCTTTGCCAGAACTGAAAGGTATTACAAAGTTAGGAACTACGGGACCTTTGGTCCAGCCCTCATACATACGTCAGCATTGCATATTAATTAAGTAGAGTAATACAATACAGTTCAGATGGTGAGAATGTTTATCAGTACAGACTTTCTCAAAGGCCGTGAGAAGGTTGAAAAGCGAAAGCTCCCTTCAGCCTATGGAGGAGGTACCCTTGTACAGGGTTGCAAAGCACAGCTAATCTACATTCACACAGACATGTCTCAATCCCTCCTCCGCTGAGGAATGTCAGAGGAGGATCCTTGAAGACAGATTGATACATGGCCAGCAGGTGCTGCATGGAGTCTGGGAACGGGAAGCCTGAGAACATTAAGGGAGGAAACAGCAGATATGCAACTATAATAGAATTCAACAGAGCAAAGCTGTGTACATCAGCGAGCCATAATTACAAGTACACTGCTCCATTGACTCAGGCACAAGGGTCTGATTCTGACCATTTTAAATGTTTGTAATGTAATGTTTTATTGTGTTCTAAACCTTACTGTATTATTTGAGATTATGTGACCCGCCCTGAGCCCACTCACGGGATGGGCGGGATACAAATACAAAAAAATAAATAGAAATAAATAAATGGAGGAGGGCCCCCGAGTCTGAGCCCAGGTTCAGCTTCCCCCAGGGCCTCATTGGCTCTCCCGCCAGCCTCTCTTGCGCAAATATGACCGTATGGAGGAATCACAGTCAATGTAGCACAAAGCGAAGTGAACTAGAAACTGTGATATTCTGGCTCCTTGTTGATGGGGGGAAAACTCAGTAAAACTGATTTATCGACAAATTTGTGTTTTGTTACTATATAAACAGAAAATAAATAAGGGCTTATTTATAGCATACTAAATTAAACAAATTAAATTAAATTAAAACTAAAAAGGTAACAGCGTTCCGTGCACCTTGGTGTTTAGTCATGCTGGCCACATGACCACGGAAACGTCTTTGGACAGCGCTGGCTCTTCGGCTTTGAAACGGAGATGAGCACCGCAACCCTAGAGTCGGATTCGACTGGCTTTCGAGCAAGGGAACCTTTACCTTTACTTAAATTAAACATTAACTCTTATCAGTGAGTAGAAAGATCATATCCTTCATTTTTCAACAATTCGAATACAAAGGTTCAAGATAGAATCAAGGCAAAGTTGATATTACGAGTCCAAATAATGTAATCCAGACCAGTAGTCTGGAGGGAAGGTAAAGGGAACCCAATCCAGTAATCTAGAGGAGGAACGAGGTATCTAGATTACATAAAGCGCGTTTCAAATTGAAAAACTTCTTCAGCCAGGATTCAGAAATGGACTGATATCAAAGGTCGGGATTATAACCTGGTGTGGATAATCGACATTAAATTAATCACATCTACAAGGTTCAGTTATGCTTATCAACCTTGTAGATGTGATAAACCTAATGTCCTTGTAAACTCACTTATTTCTCCATGGATGCATATGAAATTCTTTGACACAGAGTGGAGTAAGTAAGTAACTGAGGCCTGAAGTACGAGAAGATGGCTGTTGGCTTCTGCATACGTATGGAGCAGAGGTCCATCTGTGGCTATGAGCCACAAGGTATAGATAGGAACTCTCTGTCTGAGGCAAGGGTTGCTCTGTATTCTTGGTGCTTGGAGGGGGGGCAACAGTGGGAGGGCTTCTAGTGTCCTGGCCCCACTGCTGGACCTCCTAAGGGCACCTGGTATTTTTGGCCACTGTGTGACCCAGAGTGTCGGACTGGATGGGCCATTGGCCTCATCCAACACTGGCTTCTCTTATGTTCTTATGACGGGGTACCTCGTGAGACATTCTGTGAGATTTTTTTACCCTCTTGTTTCAGGGCGGTTCCAGATCGGATGACGACCCTCCCGCCATTCCGCCTCGGCATCCCCCCCCTCCAAAGATACAGCCACGAGTCCCAGCATACACTGGCCTGTTGGAGCAGCCTCTACTTTGTGAACCTCGCGTTCAACCTCCAGCCGCCGCCCGTGGGACGCTTTCACCGGGACCCCGACCGGCTGCGGGAAGCCAGCACGTGCCCAAACTCCCCCAGCACCCCTCCGAGCACACCGTCGCCCCGGATACCACGCCGCTGGTGTGCCCTCAGCCCGAGCCCCAACAGCCTGGCCGCTCCTCCGGTCCCCCCACGCCAGAACTCCAGCCCTCAGCTGCCGAAACTGCCACCAAAGACTTACAAGCGGGAACTCTCCCACCCTCCTTTGCACAGACACTCTTCGCTGGAGAACGCGGAAACGCCTCAATGACCTCGGCCGCAGTAGTCATTGACACTGGAATGTTAGCTGTTAAGTTTCTGGTTTCCTTCGTAATTTATTCCGACGAGGCAACATATTTCAGTACTTTGGCAGAGCCGCCGCCAAGACCCAGCGTGCCGCCAATCGAGACTGACGTGCGGGAATTAGAACCGCCAGAGCGGGGCCCTTCTTCTCACTCCCGCCGTCAGTCCTGCCGTGTTCTCCTCAGGGGACCGGGATCTCTGCCTTCTCCTCCTCCTCCTCCCTCCCGTGCCGACAGTTTTGCCAGTACAGAGAGCCTAGATTTTGCACTGTAAACTACCAACACTACCGTGAATTTTTTAAAACTGACATCCGTTTATTGCACTGAGCCAAAATGGTTCACGGGCGGGGGGGGGGGGGGGTGTTTTCCCCTGCCCAAACTGGAGCACAGCGCGGCCTTTGCTACGTATGTGTTATTTTTCTCCCAAGAGCACGATCCACTGGGAATTCCAGCAAGCGTCACTGAAAGGAACGGGGAACCCTGCCGTGCTCTTGAGCAGCTCCATCCGTTTCAGTGGCACTTGTCCAGAAGGGGTTCCAGCAGGTCGTGCCTAGAAGGGGGTGTGGCCTATCCACCCGAGCATGAAGACGCTATATTATGTTACTGATTTTTCCGAGACCTCTTTACCCTATATGCCTTTAAAAGAAAAAAAATGTTGCATACGTTTTAAGAGACTGGCAGATGACCTTTTTTTTGCTGTTCTCAAGGGTTAGTCGATCACCACGTCTTAATTTCCATTGATTTTGGGGGGTTTTCTTTTGCTGCTGAAGATAATGAGAAAGGGAAAAAAGCGATAGGTATCCTTCCGAGTGCATCGTGAGACATTTGATTTCGTAGGCAAAATGGAAGCGAGGACTGCCTGACCCAATTATCGAAGAGTATTTAGCATGCGTCGCGTACAGCTGTGCCTTGTTTTTGTTTGGGCAGCCGGAGGTGTCTTAAGCTAAAAAGTTGCCTGCTGTTTTGGTGAACAAAGCTAGTGCGTCATATTCTGTACAGATGTTTATAGTGTATATTTACAGATTGATAACCTGTATACGTTTCTGTGACCGGAGGCCTCCTCCGCAGCCTGCGAACTCCTGCGCACCGTTCACAGTTGTAAGCGTTTTCCTATCCATGGGAGAATGTTTTTGCCTTCTAGAACAGAACCAAATTGACTCTTTCGAAAAACGATTTCACTTCAGTTTCATCACGGGGCTCCCCTTTCGGAAACTGGTGCTGTCACCAACCAGCGAGCCCCAAACAGCTTTATTTTTTGTCTTTCAGAAATGTAAAAAAAGCGAGGGAGACATTCTCTTGCCCATAGAACAACGCCACTTTCTTTAGTTGAAGCTGGCACAAAAGACGTGCCTAGTCTGAGTACTGTAGAATCCCGAAGCCTTTTCTTCTGCACTGGTCTGTGGCCTTTTACTGTGCTTTGTATCAGAGTTCTTAACCAGATTAATAAATCAACCCGGTCTTAATTTTTAAGGAAGTGTGATTGAGCCATGCGTTTCTTGCAGAGTGTATTAGAGTACGCAAACAGAACCCTTCGTGGCTGATTCAGACCCAAGAGGCCAAGGCGTTTTTGGTGTCTGAGGCAGAGAATAGATTCAGGTGGAATGTTCCCTCTAAGTTGTGGAATCTTGTGAGCAAAAAGTCTACTTTGGAAGCTACAGGCATTAAAGTTGTGAGCGAGCGGTTTGGCTACTGTATAAATTAGTCTGCTCTTGAGCCATCGTTTTCTGAGCTAAGACAAAAATCTGTGAGCTGGAGGCTAAAAAACTGTGAGCTACCTCACACTAACTCAGCTTAGAGGGAACACTGGTGGGTAGCCATTTTGGTCTGAAGCAGCAGAACAAATTTTGAGTCCAGTGGCACCTCTAAGACCAACGTTTTATTCACAAAAGCTGAGACCCAGTGTAATGATTCCATTTTTGGTATGTGTGTTTCTTTAAATGTTTAGTATGACTGCAGTAATGTAAGGAGAGTGATAGAGAGAGATAAGTGTGATGTGATTGGAGTGGGAGGAGGAGTGTCTATGAGGTGATTCTGTGTGTGAGGTTTGAAGAGAGAGCATAGTCTGTGTGACTATGGGAGTTTGAGTCTATTCTGTGTGAATAAGACAAACAGTTTAGCCTGTGAGTCTAAGCCTGTCAGAGTGGAGTTTGAGAGACTGTTTGTGACGCCCAGTTTTGCCAGTTATATTTACAAGTTCCTTTCTTCAGCAACAGTTCAAGATAACCAGAAGCCTATTTTGTTCCTTTATAAATAAATCATTTTTTGTTTCAACTTATCCCAGCAATCAGAACAGTCCTTCCTCAGGGCCACATAGTCCTCTGAAGTGCCGAGACCCTAAGTCATTCTACCAAAAGAGAGAGATTTGAAATTTTTAATTCCTGGTGGCAGCAGAAATCTACCAAGTTCATGTACACAGAGTGGGTTTAAAGGTAAAACCGTCTCCCCAATAAGTGAGGACACCCCACGCAGAATAAAACTTTGTTGGTCTTAAAGGTGTCACTGGACTCAGAGTTTGCTCTGCGGTAGAGGATATAATATTCCTGAGGAGAACAAGCATAATATTTAACTTTATTTAAAAAAAAAAAAAACACGCTTCTAATTGTTCTCCCAGACTGGGAGCCCCTTACAAAAAGAAAGAAAATAAAGAAGCCAAGCAGGTATGTACACCTTTTGGGACGGCGGCACGTCGGCGTGACGATGCAGTGCGGCGGAGCCTAAGGGACAAAGGCCGGAACTGCAATCGGGAGCCGCCACGCGCCGGAGGAGTCCATCAGGAGCCTGCTGGGAGATGTCGTCGACCCGTCCTAAGGCGCCAGGAAGAAACAACGGAAGCCCGCCCGTGGAATACAACAGGACCGCGCCGCTCGGGTGTCGATAGGTAGCCCCTCCCCCAGTCGAATTGTGGCCCTGGGATAGGAACTAATTAGGCACTTAGGCCATATACCTGTAAAACCGCCCAGAGACCCTCGGGTAAAGGGCGGTATACAAATCGAAGATATAAATATAAATAAATTTTGAGCAGGCAATGGATTACAAATCCGTCCAAGTTTGCTGCTGGTTCTTCTGCCACATCCCGTATGGGAAGACAGACTTGAAATACCTGCAAAAGGTGAAGGGGTAGATCAAGGATCCTCAGCCTTGAGCCCGTGGGTACCTTTGGGATTTTGAGAGGGGGTGGTGAACACCCCACACACACACACACGTGGCTGCCATGGAAGGCAAAGCCCAACAAGATCTCCCTCCTCACTTCGAATCAAGTCGCGTCCGACTTACGGCAACCCCAGCGAGGGGCTTTCAAGGCAAGTGAGAGTGGTTTTGCCATCGCCTTCCTTGGCGGCCTCCCATCCAAATACTGACCCTGCTTAGCTTCCGAGACCTGACAAGATGGGGCTACACTATAACTATACCATTCCACACACCCCTTGCAGGCGTAAAAATATACTAACTGCCAGCGTTCCCTCCAAGCTGAGTTACTGTGAGCCAGCTTGCAGTTTTTTAGCCTCCGGCTTGCAGATTTTTGTCTTCGCTCAGGAAGGAGGGCTCCAGAGCAAACTAATTTACGCAGGAGCCAAATGGCTCGCTCACAACTTCAATGCCAGTCGCTCACAAAGTAGAATTTTTGCTCAGAAGACTCCACAGCTTAGAGGGAGCATTGCTCATGATACTAGAGCCCGAGGTCAACCACTGAAGCTGAAGGTAGGGCGATTTCAGGACAGACAAAAGGAAGCACGTCTCATAGCGCCTAGAGAAACTGTGGAACTCGCTCCCTCGGTGTGGTCACGTCTGCCAACTTTAAAAGGGGGGTGGGCATTCATGATTAGGGGGTTGGAGCCCCTTCCCTATGAGGAAAAGCTGAAGAGTGGGACTATGCTGTTTAGAAAAGAGGTGACTCGGGGGACATGATAGGGGTTTAGAAAATTATGCACGGGATGGAGAAAGTTGACAGAGAATTCTTTTCTCCTGACTAGAAGGGCATCCAATGAAGCTGATGGGCAGTAGATTCAGGACGGACGAAAGAAAATACTACTTTACACACAGAGTGATTAAAATGTGGGATTTACTGCCAGAGGATGTAGTGATGGCCACAGGAATAAACAGCTTTGAAAGGGGATTAGATAGATTCATGGAGAAGTCTATCAGTGGCTACAAGCCCTGGTGGTGACTGAGGGGAACTGCCATGTTCAGAGGCATTAATCCTCTGAATCCCAGAGCCAGGAGGCAATATCAGGGGAAGGCCTTGGCCTCTCTGCCCTGTTGTTGGCCCTCCAGAGGAACTGGTTGGCCGCTGTATGAGACAAGATGCTGGACGAGATGGACCTTCACTAGTCTGATCCAGCAGGGCTTTTCTGAGGTTCTTCTCAGGGGAAGGCCTCGGCCTCTCTGTCCTGTTGCTTGCCCTCCGGAGGAACTGGTTGGCTACTGTGTGAGACAGGAGGCTGGACTAGATGGACCTTCACTGGTCTGATCCAGCAGGGCTCTTCTGATGTTCTTCTCAGGGGAAGGCCTTGGCCTCTGTGCCCTGTTGTTGGCCCTCCAGAGGAACTGGTTGGCCACTGTGTGAGGCAGGATGCTGGACTAGATGGACCATCAGACTGATCCAGCAGGGCTCTTCTTATGTTCTTATTAGAGGAAGGCCTCAGCCTCTCTGCCCTGTTGTTGGCCCTCCAGAGGAACTGGCTGGCCACTGCATGAGACAGGATGCTGGACTAGGTGGACCACTGGTCTGACCCAGCAGGGCTCTTCTGATGTTCTAATGAAGGCCTCGGGCTCTCTGCCCTGTTGTTGGCCCTCCAGAGGAACTGATTGGCCACTGTGTGAGGCGGGATGCTGGACTAGATCTGGTCTGATCCAGCAGGGCTCTTCTGATGTTCTTATGGAGATCAGGGCTGTCAAAGGCTACTGACTGTCATGGAGGTAAGCATGCCTCTTTAAATCAGTTTCTGGTGAGCACGGGCAGGATAATACTGTTGCAGTCTTCCTGCCTATGAGCTTCCTAGAGGTAGCTGGTCAGCTGCTGTGTGAGCAGACTGTTTCACTTGATGGGCCCTGGGTCTGATCCAGCAGGGCTCTTGTGATGTTCAGGTTATGAGTGTGGGGACTGTGATGCTACTTCCAAGTTTTAGATGAAGAAGATGAAAGAAGGGGGGGACGGGAGAGGGAGGAGAGGCCCAGCAAGGCGGAGAGGGCCATTCTTCACCATACAAAATAGTCGTCTGATCGCATTTCAGACATACAAGTCGCAGCATTCGTCTTGTAGAAGGAGAAACGCCACACATGGGGCTCAGTGGTAGCGCATCTACCTTGTATGCAGAAAGTCCTAGGTTCAGTCCCCAGCACCGCCAGAATAAAAGGGTCTTGTACAGGGGTCATTTCCTGCAGGAGCACACAGGAGCGGAGCTCCAGCAGTAAAGAGCCCAGGGGGCGGGCACAGGCAACAAGCCCCACCCCCTGTTCCCAGCAACCCTCAGTCACAGCAAGAAGCAGCCAGGTAAGTTGCAGAGCTCCCCCTCCCCAGTCCAAAACAGTCCAGTGGCACCCTTTAAGACCAAGTTTTATTCAGGTACAAACTCTCCCTCCTCTATGAGGGCAGATCTGCACGCCCCCCCCCCAAAAAAATAGCTAGCAATCCAAAAGAGTCCAGTGGAGCCTGAGCGGTGGGTGTTGCCTTCTGACACACTTCCGGTGATGTCAGGGGGTGTGGCATATGCAAATAAGTTATGCTAATGAGTTATGCTAATGAGCTCCTGCACCTCTTTTTCTACAAAATGACCCCTGGTCTTGTATGTGATGAGAAAGACCCCTGCCCGAGACCCTGGAGAGCGGCTGCCAGACTGAGTAGGCAATACTGACCTTGATGGACCGGAGGTCTCATTCAGTAGAAGGCAGCTTCATGTATGTTTGGGGAGGGTCCGTGGCCCAGCAGTAGAGCATCTGTGGAAGGTCCCGGGTTCAGCTCCCGGCATCTCCCGTTAAAGGATCTGGCAGGAGGTGATACGAAAGACCTCCCCCGGAGACCTTGGAAAGCTGCTGCTGGTCAGAGTGGACAAAAATCAACTTTGACAGACGGACCTGTCGACTCACGTGGATGCATGAAGCTGCCTTCTACTGAATCAGGTCCTTGGTCCATCAAGGTCAGTACGGTGTCAACTCCGACTGGCAGCGGCTCTCCAGGGTCTCAGGCAGAGGTCTTTCACATCAACCTGCGCTACCTGATCCTTTTCAACTGGCGATGCCAGGGATTGAACCTGGGACCTTCTGAATGCCAAGCAGAGGCTCTGCCACCGAGCCACGGACCCTCCCCAACAGCCCAGTCCTGGGAGGTGCTGTGGTGATAGCATCGAGCCACAGGTGCAGCAGCAACACGACTGGACTGTTCCTTAAGGGGACAGCACACAGGTTGGGGAGGAGCAAAGGCCTCCTCAGGGGCCCCATCAAGAATAAGTCCCCAGCAAC